TGACTTTATTCTCCTAATGTTACGAATTAATTCCCGTAATATTGCGACTTTATTCTCATAATTTCACTACTTTGTTCTCAGAATATGACGACTTTGTTCTCGAAATATAAAAAATAAAACTCTAGCCTGGCCCTAATAGTCCATCATAGTTTTTCAGATTTTCACATCTGAAAATGAATTAAGCCCACAATAAAGAAGTTGTTTTTTCAGGCTGATTAAAGGCCATTAGCCAGTTTTTCAGTGTACCCTCCCTTATATGTTCTGTTATTCAACATTTTAAGGAAATGTCTATAAACCTAGAAGCTAATCTGATGGAGAAAGAGGTCGCAGGGAACATCTGCACTGTTTAACAATCTGTCATGTTAAACAGTGCAGATGTACAATCAGTAGATCACATGACACGACCTTTGACCCTGACAGCATCCTTCACTGCGCTCCTCGTCCTCAGATAAGCTCTTTGTTTGCTGAGCATCGTGTCTTTTCTCTGCAGCTGATATGGGATTCGCCAGACTCTTCAACTCTCCCCTGAAGCCGCTGGCGGACCTCGACCCTGTGGTGGTGACGTTCTGGTACCGGGCCCCCGAGCTGCTCCTTGGGGCCCGACACTACACCAAAGCTATCGGTGAGTCTGACTGAGCTGACGTGAAGCAGCCGTGAGGTTTGAATCGGTGTCTGCTTGTCTATTTGGGGCTTAAACAGGGGTGGTGCTGAGGGGTGGACAGGGGGAGTCCCCGCCCCTCTTTGCAACCTAGAGAGAGAAGCTGTGAGGAGAAAAAACTGTTGCATCTCATCAATAAATCAAATTTTACACATTTTTAGGTTTTTTTTTATAATTTGGTAATTATTCACTGTGTGAAAGTAAACTAACATTTTTAGAAAAGTCTTTAGCAAGAAGTTGCTTCAAACTTAATCAGGAGCTTGGATGGGTGTTGTTAATTTGGATATTATTGCCACCTACTGGAAAAAATCAGAAGTTAAAAAAGTATCAAGACTAGGAAAGACTGTTTCAGGGGTTTGGAATTAAAGAGTTACGGATAAAGAAACCTTCAATTCAACAGCAACACAGTGAGAACAAAACACCAGTCCCTGTCCCAGATTCTCTGATACCTTCTAAGACATTTTCTTATTCAATTTAGTTTTATATGTGACGTCTAATTAAAGGAAAGGAAGTTTGTATACTGAATGTGACAGGACTTTTCCTTTAAAAGCAAGAAAGTATTTTTTTTTAAACAGTGTTTTTGTTTGTATCAGATATCTGGGCAATTGGTTGCATCTTTGCGGAGCTGCTCACATCAGAGCCCATCTTCCACTGTCGCCAAGAGGACATCAAGACCAGTAACCCCTTCCACCATGACCAGCTGGACAGAATATTCAGCGTGATGGGTTTCCCTGCAGGTCTGCACATAAAGCACACAGTCCTCACTGCTGCTTTATCTTTCAGTAGCTTCGGATTGAATTGCTCTGATAATAAATTCTGACCCTAGAAGATAGAATATCAGTGTTTGCTCTGTGTCTCATCTGTAGATAAAGACTGGGAGGATATCAGAAAGATGCCAGAGTATCCCACGCTGCAGAAGGACTTCAGGAGGACAACGTGAGTGAAACTTTAGAAGATCAAGAACCTTATCAGCAAAGTATCAGATATGGAACCTTTGTTTTTGTCCTCACAGGTATGCAAACAGCAGCTTAATCAAGTACATGGAGAAGCATAAAGTGAAGCCAGACAGCAAAGTGTTCCTCTTGGTAAGAACACGTCCCGTGGTTTAGAGGAAATTAGCCACAACAGAATCCTTCAGCCCACTGTGACCCAGCCTAAATAAAGCTCTTCATTAGTTTTAAAAACTATTTATTATGGATTTTCTCTGATCCAAACTTGTATCATAATCAGTGTTATATAAACCTATGAATCTAATCCGATCAACTTAAATCTATTCATATTCATGAAGCTAAATATTTGTAGTTGTTTTTAACTGAAGACGGTTTAGATGTAGTGACTGTGATGGATTACTCCAGAGTGTCGCCACTTTCTGCTGCTTTCACTGTCACCCGGGGATGTAGGAACATTTTGTCCTTTTGCCCCCAGCTCCAAAAACTCCTCACCATGGACCCCACCAAACGGATCACCTCAGAGCAGGCGCTGCAGGACCCCTACTTCCTGGAGGAGCCTTTACCAACAACAGAGTGAGTCGTTCAAAACCTATTTAACTTTATTTAAATGTAAAAGATAAAAATAGTTCATTTAAACTGACAAAAAACCCAATAATAAACATTTTTTGGTTTATTTTGAAACTCATTTAAAAAAAAATAAAAGAACATTTTAATTATAATCTCACTACTAAATAAAAAGTGTTTAAAAAATGGATGAAGAGCAAATAAATAAATGCTTTATTTAGTTTTGGGCTTTAATAAAAGAATAAAATCAGTTTAGTAATAAAGTTAATAACACATTTTTTATTTGGGTGAATATGTCCCATCAAACCGTAATCTACTTCAGAACAATGTAATGCAAAATGTCCTGATGCAGCTCATCAGCATAAAGAAATAATCCAAGAGGAAGGAGATTATTTTGCAGCTTAGATAATTTATCAGACTTGGTAGTAAAAACAGTAGTGGAACAATCTGTGATTGTTTTTTTGCTCTTATCAGAAGGTTTGTCTGATCAGAGCAGAACGGACAGCCTAGGAGCATAGGGGCAGCATCGCTCCGAACAGGCAAGGCCTCTGTACTCAGAGCTTTTGCAGTTCAGGGTTTTAAATGATTCTCACACTGGATAAATTAATTAGTCATTTTATACTTCCTTTTTTTTTTTTTTTTTACAATAAACCCATTAACACTTATAAAACGTTACATGTTTATTAGTAGTTTGAGGCAGCCAGTTCATGTCTTAACATTTATTAATCCGCCTGCTTATTAGCAGTTTGTCACAGATGGTTACTGCTATGATTTCTCATACTACCGTAGGGCCCTGTCACACTTTGCGGATTTATCCAGCGTATACCAGATGTCCCAGAATCTCCTAAAACTCTGGCATACGCTAAAATTTCTATGTATTTTTTCAATTTTGGGGGTTTTCATAACGAGCCCAGAACTTATGTTGAGTGACAGCCTAACTTGTGTATAACGCACAGCAGTGTAATGCCCATGACGTGATGCACAAGCATCATGTCATGGGCAGGAAAGGGAAAAAACATCCATCAATCAATCCACATTTTTCTTGATGGATTGATGGATGAATGAAACTGAAATTGTGTCCATACTAGGGAGACATGATATATTCCTGTTGGCATCAGAATCAGCTGCTATTCATCTTTTTTTTTTTTTTGTTTGTTTTTTTATACATCAATGTCTAGCTACCTATAAATACCTATAAATATAAATATCAGTGTATTTTGGTTCTTTTGTGGTCTCCACAATAGGAAAGCATTGAATAAATATATGTTTGAGCTCATTGTTGGAAAATACAAACCCTGTTGAAAACAGGTTTGTTTGTGTCGAGTAACTGTAGGTCCATCAGCCTCCACCCTTAGTGTCCTCACCAACTTTCATCACAAAGTAACCCTTGGCCCGGAGGCGCCCGCTCTGCATAAAAAGATGTCTTTGCAGTATTAACCTAGCTGCTGGTTACCATCCACTCAAAATAAAGAATAAATAAGAAGAAAGGAGGTTTGCAGTGTCAGCAGATTCAGCTTCATGTCTGCTAGGAAGTTTGTTGGTGGTGGGCGTGAATGCAGGGAGGATCCATCACACTCACCTTCTGGCTCACCCTATGATGGGGATGAAGTCTGGAGGAGAACTGACGGTTTCCTCCTGTGAACCCCCTTAATAACAAAACGCTGCCAATACGCCATTATACAGTAGCTGGAAGTTAGAAACACGTTCAGCGCTCATCTGGAACACGTCAAACACGTTGATATGTGTTGGAGATATGTTCTCGATAAGTTATGCAGAAGTTATGTACAGGTTACTCATAGGTTTTGGATAAGCTAGACGCCACAACTTATGAGTAACTTACACTTAATGTATGTCAACCATCAGATAACTGATCTGGAACTTATACCCCACGTATGGAATATGCTGGCGTACATCAGCATCCTCAAAATTTCCCTAATGTCCTCGCCGTATGTTGGCGTGTGCCAGCGTGTTTCAGCATACTAAGTAATAAGTTATTAGCACAGTAAAGTACCCATAACTTATCCAACATATGCCAGCGTTTTGGCCAGATTTTCCGTACGTCAGGCATACGCCGTCTAAATCATCAAGGTGTGACAGGGGATTATACCACAGAAGGTTCCTTACTGAAGAGCTTTCTGTGATGCTCCTGGGTTTGTTTACTGGCTCTATAAAACTACCATTTCTCCAGGCCCCATTTAAAAAAAATGATTCACTCAGTATCTTTTATTTTCATATTTAATTTTGTAGAAAAAAAAAAAAAGAGTGCTCTTCAATTTCCCTCTAATTTAAAGAGATCATTTCAGTTTGAATAAAAGAATCAACAAAAAAAAAAACA